GTGAATCAGTCAGGGTCGGACACAAGAACCTTGGTTTTGTCAGGACTGAGATGAAAGAAATATTTTAAAGTTAGTAATGGCAGTGAAGCATTCCCTCGGGTACCAAAGGCTGTTGAGCTTGAACTAACAGAAAGGTACAGCTGTGTATTGTGTGCATATCAATGATAGCAGGTGCATTTAAAGCTATTAAGCAGATGGCCCAGGTATAATATACCCAGTGAAAACAAAACTGTTGAGATGATTGAGCCCTGGAGGAATCCACAGATGAAGACATAGTTCAGAATTCATATTCAGACAAGTAAAACCATTTGAGAGCTATTCCTGCGATTCCAGCTCTGATTCTGTAATCTGCTGGCTGAAGCTTTGGTTTTGAGTGACATAAGGATGACATTTGTTTATTGCCTGTTTTGACTCCATGGTTTAACATTGTATCTCTGCATCTGCAACAGAAAGCCATTGATCTTGTCACTAAAGCCACAGAGGAGGACAAGGCGAAGAATTATGAGGAGGCTCTGCGCCTGTACCAGCATGCTGTGGAATATTTCCTACATGCCATAAAATGTAAGTATCTTATCTTGACAGGTAGCTGAGCTGTTTGTGTCTTGCGTACACCTTGCTGATGGGAACATCTTCTCTTACTCCAGATGAGGCCCACAGCGACAAGGCGAAGGAGAGTATACGAGCAAAATGTATGCAGTACCTGGACAGAGCAGAGAAACTGAAGGACTATCTGAAGAATAAAGACAAACAGGGCAAGAAGCCTGTCAAAGAAGCACAGAGCAATGACAAGTATGATGTCCTTTTTTTGTATGTTTAAATGTAAAAAAAACAAACATTTTAGGCTTTATTGGATTTTTATGTTCTGTGTTCTAGGAGCGACAGTGACAGTGAGGGTGAAAACCCTGAGAAGAAAAAACTGCAGGAGCAGCTTATGGGTGAGTGGCCTTGGGGGGATTTAACCCCATCATGTGGAGCTTATGATATTATTTCTTACAATTTTCTTTGGTTTTGTCATAATCAACCAGCCTTGTCTATTAATTGCATCCCAGTAGGTGTGTCATTATTACTGTTTTTTTTTGTGTGTAGGTGCTATTGTAATGGAGAAACCCAATGTGAGGTGGAATGATGTTGCTGGGCTGGAAGGAGCTAAGGAAGCTTTGAAGGAAGCAGTCATCCTGCCCATCAAATTTCCTCACCTTTTCACAGGTACTGTAGGTCTCAAGTCTCTTCATTCTGTTTAAACCCAGTAAGCAGTCATACACTGATATCAACACTACTTTAAAGACAAACTTTTCTTCTGGGTCTTTTTGTTTCTCAGGCAAACGGACCCCATGGAGAGGCATCCTGCTCTTCGGTCCTCCGGGAACAGGGAAGTCATACCTGGCCAAGGCAGTGGCCACCGAGGCCAACAACTCCACCTTCTTCTCTGTCTCCTCCTCAGACCTCATGTCGAAGTGGCTGGGAGAGAGTGAGAAGTATGTGTTCAATGCGTCATTTCAATTCAGTGTAATTTACATAGAGCCAATTCCCAACAAGTCTCATCTCAACGTGCTATAAATTGTCATGTAAAGGCCGTACAATATTGGAGAGGGAAAATGGATGAACTAGTTTTTCAGCATCACTCTGAGTCAGGAGTGTTTCTAATTTTTAGTATTGTACACTTGTTTAAGCTAGGTAAAAAGGAAATATCAGAAATGCTTCTAAAGTTCCTCACAGCCTTGGGGACAGCTGTTTTCTTATCCTAGCAGAATATCAATTAAACAGCTCCATAAATAATCAACTGTACCAAAGTAGACACCTGAACTTATAAAGCTGAAACAGTTTTGTAAGTATCTTTTTAATAAACAGATTGATATGTGATTTAGCAAGTAGAAATACTGGAAAAAAACAACTTTGATAACTGAATATTTTGGAATTTTAATCTTTAAAGGTCTCATCTTAAATTGCATAAAGGTGATGAGCAATAATTACAACATTTGTTACTTCAAAGACTAAATCGATTTCTTAGTAATAAAAAACTAATGGTCTAATCTGGCTATCCCTCAGACATATTTACTCCGTCTCTGCTCGTCTCTGTCAGGCTGGTGAAAAACCTGTTTGATCTAGCTCGCCAGCACAAACCTTCAATCATCTTCATCGACGAGGTGGACTCTCTGTGCGGCTCAAGGAACGAGAATGAAAGCGAGGCTGCCCGCCGCATCAAGACAGAGTTTCTGGTCCAGATGCAGGGTGAGTCACACGAGTGCTATCGGATATATGAAGTGTGAAGAATATGCAGTATTAAATAATATTGTTGAAACTTGAGGCACAGCCATTTGGAAAAACACGGCGTCTGCAGTGTTTCAAGTAAGATTGATGATGTGAGCAAAGAGGGGCTTTTCTCAGCCTCACATCGGTGTCAGACTGAATGTGCGAATCTTGTTAACACTTTGTCAAACCTGGATCACATCACCATGATGGATTGAAATAAGGGACCTTAAGACCACAGCAGCCTTTTCAGAGTTCATAGAACCACAGAACCTCACTGTGCTTGCTCTGCACCACAAGAGGAACGCCTAAAAAACACAAATGTTTGGTGATTTTCTGGATGTAAGTGTATGTGGTGGCAGCACTGGTAACCATCATATGTGAAAAATCCTTTTATGTAAGTAAGTAAGTAAAATTTATTTATATAGCGCTTTTCACAGATAAAAATCCCAAAGTGCTTTACAACACAGGAAATGGGAATATAAAAACAATATAACAGTAAATAAAACAATGTAAAACAATAAAATTATAAAAACAGCATAAGAAGAAATTAATCAAATGCTTTTCTAAATAAAAATGTCTTCAGCTGTTTCTTTATAGAACCATTGGAGTCCGTGCAGCGAAGAGACAGTGGGAGAGAATTCCACAACCGTGGTGCCACAGTCTGAAAGGCCCAATCACCACGAGTTTTAAAATGAGTGCGCGGTACCACCAGCAGTCTCTGATCTAATTACCTTAAAGCCCGAGAAGATGTATGTGGTTTCAGCAGGTCAGATAAATATTGAGGAGCCTGACCATGTAGGGCCCTAAAGGTTAGAACTAAAATTTTAAAATGAAACCTAAAATTTACAGGCAACCAGTGAAGGGAGGCCAAGACTGGAGTGATATGTGATCTTCTCTTGGTGCCTGTTAAACATCAGCTTTGTAAACAACAGTATAGAAATTATAAGAGAGAGACATGGCACTGAAAGAAGCATGAACTGTGGGGAAAGTATAACCTCCAGGGGGATAAAAACTTCTAAAATGTTATTGTGGATCTGCAGAGATTTATCATATTTGAGTGCTGATTCTATACATGCAGTTTTATGTCATGGTGGTCACTGAAATTAATTTAGACCGTGTTTTAACATAAATGCCCAAAACATTTTAAGATGTGAGATTTACTCCTTTAAGGACTTTTTAGGGTGGCTAGCTCGAAAAAAATGGAGAAAAGGTATCGAACCCCATATTTTCAAATATTTGATAGTAAAAGTGCACATCCACTGTTTGTGTAAAGAGCTACAAAGAGCTGGTGTGTTTGTGCTTCATACGAGTTACACTGCAAAGTTTTCTGATTGTTTTCAACACATTTCTCAGTCTCAGTAGAAGACTTAGTTATTTGTCACTTATTTGTCTCTGGGTTGAACGATCTGTGGTGATGTCAGGCATTTTCTGTTTTCATAACTTTTCTTGTTATTACGGTATTCATTCCACACCATATAAACAATTTTATTGTGTGGCATCAGTAGCTCATCATTGTTTATATTGTATAAATAAATTACACTGACCATTATTCCTGCTACAATCGGTTAAGAGAGTTTTCCAGAGTTTCAAAAGAAGTGCTTGTGTAGATTGACACTCTGCTTTTGTAGGTGTCGGAAACAACAACGATGGCATTCTGGTGCTCGGAGCCACCAACATCCCCTGGGTGCTGGACGCCGCCATCCGCAGAAGGTCAGAGGTCATCTCAGATGTTTGTGTGTGTGTGTGTGTGTGTTTGTTTTGTTTATATTCTGTGGGGCTTTTTATTCAAAAAAATGTACTTTTACTGTAGCTGCACTGTTATTATTCATCACAATGGTGATTCTGTCATGTTCCGTGTTGGGTAAGTTACTTTAAATTAGTAACTTAGTTACTTTACTAGTTGCTTCTATCAAAAGTAACTCAGTAACTTCAAGTTACTC